AAGGAGACCGTCACAGTACCTGACCTCCCCAAACAACATGGAAATTGACCAGCATCACCAACCACAGGGCTGTAATCTCCATCTTGAGGCAGCTCCACAGTCTGTACTTGTGAGGACATGAAAACGATGCCCTCAAGTTTTCATGAACAAGCAATTCCATGAAAAGACACGGAGGAAGCATAGTTGTATGTTAATAAGTGAAAGAAGTCAATCTGAAAATGTTGGCAGACCCTAACTCTGACATTCTGGAAAAGGAAAAAACTATGGAGAAAGTAAAAAGCTCAGAGGTCACCAAGAGGGCCAGGAGGAGGGACAAATGGCCGAGCACAGCAGAGGATTTTTAGGGCAGTGAAACTCTTCTGTATGATACTATCATGGTGAAGCTGATGTTGTCCAAATCCATAGAGTGTCCAACACCCACAGTGACCCCAATGCAAACTGTGTACATAGGTGATGATGTAGCTCCATCAATGAGATCGTAGCAAATGGACACTCGGCATGGGACGTTGATAGAGAGGAGATCATGCACATGTAGGAATAGGGGAGATAGGGCAATTCTGTACCTTCAGTTTTGCTGTGAAGGTAAAATTGCTCTTAAAAAAGTGTATTTTTTTTTAAAAAGCAATTCTGACTCAGGTTTACTCTTTCCTTTTATTAAGCCTATTAAATTAAAAGTTATAAGACAGTATTCCTAGCCTTTCTTTAAAAGGCCATGCTTTAATCACCAAGTTATATAGTCCTACCAACAGGACGAGCTACCTCACTTAGGCGCCCACTGAACAATGAACATAGGGGACCCCTCGTTAAAAATATACTAAGAATTTCAAGACTGTGATGGCAAACCACTGGGTCAAGTACAGGGTTCTTTAAGAATGCACAGGTCACACAGCCACAAAGCCAAGTCTGCCTATTATTGATACCAAGAGCCTGGAACATCTTGAGTGGGGAAAAGGGAAAGCTGTTCAGCCCTTGCTCACTGTTCCCTGTTCCTATGTTACACGTTCACTGTCCTTTCTAAAGTGGCTGCAATTAGATGCTGTGCTTAGGGTGTGTAGTCTGTGAGGTCCTCCTTGCCCTGTCAGGCAACAGCTACTTCATGCTTGTGTTATAAAGAGGGTGGGATTCTAGGTATTTGCTGGAGAAAGACTCAGGATCACTGGAATACATACTAAGGATGTTCAAACTTAAGGTCAGCCAAAGCAAAAGAAAATTGGCACAAATCTCATGAAAATAGAGATTGAACTGATGAGCAGTAAAGTGAAGTCCACTCGTACAATGTTACTGTGATATGCAGCTGCAAATGTGAACTGTTTAGGTATCTGGAATCATATCTAGAAGCATGACAACACTTTATATTATCAGGAAGCAATTCTGTGGCCAAGACTGTGGTAGCAGCTTATTATCACTGAGAGATGGAAGTCTTAGTATGATGCTCAGCCTGGCCCTGAATTCCTGGACTCAAGAGACCCCTCTGTCTTACTCTCCCGAGTAGCTGAGACAAGAACATGCCATTGGGCCTGCCTTGGTAGCAATTTATTGAACATACTGTGCCATGACTTTAAGGCTTCTGAACATCAGTGCCGGTGCTGGGGAATTTTTGCACAAAGGTCACTGGGCCCTACAGTGTGACTGGCTATTTGCCCCTAGGTAAAAAGGCTGGGCTACTGTAGTTTTCATAAGCCCAAGGCTCCACATTTGGCCTTCTATTGGGTCAGTGCACCTCTCTTACATTATCATAGTACAGCTCTTAGCAGAATCTGGGGACAGTGACTGGAATCCCACAAAGTGCTCTGGCTAAATACATGCCCACTCACCATTTTGCATTTACCACCTTGGATTAGTGTGAGCTGAGAAGCACGCTGACCTGTATTTTTCACATTCTAGTAAGTTTAAGAACCAAAGGTTTGTCATAGCTTGTACACCTCTGGGAACTTTGTCCTTCCTTGGGACAGAGGTGCCCTAGTGGCAGGGCACTTTATGCTGCTTCCTCCTGCTGCTACTCCAGAGCTAAGTGTGAATGCCTTGGGGTTGAACTGATGATCACCTCCAGGACAAAGCTGGGTGGGGGAAGTTTGCAGGCTGATGATCCTAACCAGAACAAAGACCACAAAATTGTGGTGAGCTCATTACAAATTAATTTTCCTGGTTGACTGAGGTAAATAGATTTGTACATCTGTAACTCATGCAAGGAAAACTATTTGAGATCTAATCTTCATTGTGCACTCAGGAGTTGTGCCTTATTCTATGTGCTTCACCTTTGACTCATGTAATTTTCACAATCTTCATTTTACAAATGGGGAAAGAGAGGCATGCAGTGTGTGATGGTCCATCTTGATTGTCAACATGATAGGATTAAGAGATACATAGAGAGGTGACTGCATTGTGAGTGTGCTAACTTCATCAATTGATTAACCCATTAATGAGTTCATAGGTGAAAGGGGTATTAGAAAGTGGGGACTAGTTGGGGGAAGCCAGCTATTGGGGGGAATGACTTTGAAAGGTGTATCTTTTCTTGGGCTCTTTATGATGCTCTGTTTCCAAATGCCACGAGATGAGTGGTTTTCTCTCCCATCCCCTTCTGCCATGGAGCTGACGATGGACTGAGACCTCCAAAACTGTGAGCCAAAATAAACTTTTCCTCCTTTAAGTTATGTACTTCAGGTATTTTGTTCCAGCAACAAAAAGCTGACTAACACAGTGTGACTTGTCCCAGGAGACTCACATGGAAGGAAAAATAGAAAAGCCCAGGTAGACAGGGGGCAGAAGCAGTGTTCTTAATGTCTGCACTCTTGCATGGACGCACAGAAACCCCTTACAAATATGGCAGAGAACCAAAACAAAAGAATGGTTCCAGTTTCAAATCGATGCAGAGCCTTACATGAGTTATGTGACTTAAATGCCTACCTCAGTTCATTGAGATTTATCATCATCATGTACGTAGATTTTAGGCAGAAAGTGACTTGTCCAGGCCATAGAAGCTACAAGCTAAGCTGGAAGCTCGTGTGTCTTGATGGCTCACAGCCATCTCCTTCCTACCATCCTAAGTCAACAAGCTTAATACAGCACATCTGGCTTAGACTGTTTCACTGCACAACAAGGAGGTAAATTCTGTAAGGGGTGGAGGTCGCAGAATGAAAGTAGTAGCAGAAAGAACACAGCTCCTAACCTTTTTGTTGAACTCCCTAAATGGAGACCTAGGAAAAGAAAGAACATGGTTTGTCCCAGGTATGTCTATTAGAAGAGTTATACGAAATTGTTTAAGAGAATTCAAACAAATAATACAGTTGGTAAAGTGACAAGTGTTTAAAATTACTGAAAAGGAAGAAAACAATGTTTCCACAGATGCAGGGTAACCTTGGAAAAGACTTTTCCTGAAAGTGTCTCATCCAGCTGGAGTGAAAAGAAATAAAAAGAGTGAAATAGAAAGAAAATGTTCAAATTGGAAGGGGAACTAGGAAGGGAGGAGGGGGAAAGAAAGGAAGTAGAAAGAGAAAAACAAGAAAAGAAGGAAAATATGGAAACAAAGTTTTTGTAAATGAGGAGGAGAAGAGGGGTGGAAGGTAAAGGAGGGGAATGGGAAGAAAAGAACAATGAAGGTATATCATGTACAGGTACAAATTCCCTGTGATGGATGTGATCATTATGTACATCTGAAATGTACCAATAAACTCAATTCATTAAAAGAAGAAATAAAAGGAAATATGAAAGTCAATAAAAGAATAACATGAGCATGAAAGACCATCATTAATCTTCTATTCAAATGGCAGTCACGGCTACAATCTAAGCAAAAAGAAATTTTGTTCATGGATAAAACTAAGTCTACAGGGATATACTCAGTTAATAAGTGATTTAGTCACATTCCTGAATCTGCAGTCAAGCAAATGAGCCTAGAACCATTGGTTTAATGGTCTGTAGTTTAAAAATTGATCATAGCTTTTTTTATTAAAAAATTAACAAAAAAATAACTTTAGCAAAATATTCTACATGTAGACCAGTCACTTATTGTCTTATACATCTCAATGGCATTAGCTGGGTGGTTTTCCCTGGTTAGATTTGATGCAGGCACATGAACAAAGAGTGAGGACAAAGAGAGATGAACGGAAGGAAAACGAGGCAGGGACTCAAAGGAGAGAGGCACAGCCACGGCCATGGCCCGGGAAAAGGAGGGACAGCCCTGTGTCTCGGGTACTTTCTCACTACCGAGACCCAGAACCCTACACTCACAAGTTAAAGGAGGAGAGGTTTATTTTGGCTCACAGGTTGTGGAGGTTTCAGCTGCCTCCGAGGCAGAGCAACCTGGTGGAGGGGCATCACCGAGGAGAGACAGTCCATGGCACAGCAGGCAAGAAGCAGGGAGTGAGAGAGGCCAAGGGAACAGCAGGAAGAGGCAGACCCAGGGCTCACCTCTAGTGACCCGCCTCTTCTGACCAGACACCACCTCGTAGGAGCAAGTGTGCAGTAACCCTCCACAATGTAACCACCTCCCCAAAGCCCACCGAGGAGCACACGAGGCTTTGGGGGACATTTTGCATATAAACCACAACGCACTGGGATGAGTCCTGCTTAACTCAAATTCTACTCTTCATCAACAAACTTAACACAGCTGACCCTTGAGGTCAAGGAAATAAATGATGGATGTGATCATTATGTACATCTGAAATCATCATTTATTTCAATCAGGAAATAAATCTATGTATGAAGTGATCTTAATCTCTCAAGTTATTATCATAAATGTACACTAAGTAACTTTGTACTAGCCCCTATATCTTCTGCGCTGCTTTTAAGAAAATTAGAAATCCTTTTTGGAGACCAGGCAGTTAATACAGATGCGCTCTGAGTTTTTACGAGCAGATATTAGGCGATACCACACTTTTTTTTTTTGGTTTTTCTCTGGTACCGGGAACCGAACCCACGACCTTGCGCTTGCCAGGCAGGCGCTTTGCCGCTGAGCTAAATCCCCAGCCCCTGATACCACACTTTAATAACTACTACTAATGCGATAGAGTGTAATAAAAATAAATTTATTTAAGGAAAAATATACCATATGTCCTTGCTTGACAAAGTTTTGTGTCCAGCACAGTGGAGATCAGTTGTTAAGATGAATGACAAGTGCTGTGGTGTACTGCCACATGTCATGTGTGTACAATCAAGGATTAGCACCACTGATGTGTGTTCTGTTTCCAGTTTAGCCCACTGACCGTGCCAACAGTCACTTCATGTATGCCGAAGAAGAAAACTCACAGGAAGATAGGTGGAGAAGTGTCTACTGCAAGAAGTCTTTTTGCTGATTTAAGTGTGGTCTTTAAATGGCTTTTCAACCAACCACACCTCTGTGTAAATCATAAAATAACAAGAAGTCTTTGAACCCAAAAATCACGTTTAAAACAAATCCTTACCTGACAATAAACACAAATCTTAAAACACAAAGTATAAAACTTTAAGCTTCTCCGTGTTGCACACTCTGAAATGTGACTTTTCACATATGACTATTATCATGTCATAAATTAGCAGAAAAATAGGGAATTTCATGATCACCGCTCAACTGCACTAATGTCCAGCAGTAGCCTGTGATCTACTCTTCATCCTCCAAATGTATAAAAAGTAACTTTGGAACTTCAGTTAAGGTCAGCCAGCTGACAGGTGTTCCTCTTTCTTGGCCCACAATTAAATAAGACAGTCCTTTCAGAACGGCTGGTCCAGGGTGTCCGAGGTCCCTCAGCTCTGCAGCTGGGTAAGGAGGCCTGAAATTTGTCTTCCCAGAAGAGCTTTAGTTAATAACTATCAAGTGGTCATTGCTTTCTCTCCTATAATAGGACGGGGGAGGAGGAAAAGAAAAGAGAGCAAGAATTTAAAACTCTTTACCAAGAAAGAGGAGTGTACTCTATATTCTAGGCACACATGGGTTACGTGAGGGAAGCATGTAAGCCGAAGAATAAGTAAGAAAGACACCTGACATTATTTGAAATTTAAGCAGATGATTTCAGAAACGAACTGTGAGCTGTGAGCCCTTACAGCCTTCCCACCCTTTCACTAAGGAAGTCTTACTGATAGCTTCAAGGGCCCGTTTTCCTCCTTCACTGGAATAGAAAAGGAGAAAGTGGAATTTACAGCTGCTCGTTAAGCGTCTCTCCAAGGAACCACATCGCTTTAGGCCTGGAAGAGGCTTCAGGCCCTCTAGCTCACCCTGATGTGACTGGAGGAGCCGAGCAGTTTAGGAAAGGTCACAGGACACCCTTGACTAGTGGCAGGGTCCAAAACACAAAAACAAAGTAAAAAGAAAAACAGGTGTTATAATGATCAGATTAGGGGCTCTGTCAGCAATTCAAAAGAGGACCAATGTGTGGGGGTTGCCAGACCACTCTGTTGAGAAAGGTGGTCACGTCCATGACCTGCAAGAGGTAGAGCTGGGATAAATGGATGCCATCTGTCACGGTCACCAGACAAGGGAGACGAGACACCAATCCCTGAGCGCCCAGGCTGCCTCGGTGAGGTCTTGCTCCAACATTTACTCTCCACTCATAGCCTTCCTTAGAGTTGTTTCATTCTTTATTCCTGGCCTTAAGCATGGGGTCACAGGCACTGCTTGCTTTCCAGGGCCCATTGCAATACATTTCCTCCCACTGTGACATGTGACCTTCACTCATGCTCTGCAGGGTCCTCCCTATTGCTGTGAAGTCAAAGCTGTGGTCTGAAGATTCCACTGACATCACTCTAGCTGCCTTCACCAAGGTCTATCTTCTGGCCAAACTTGGCAACAGACACTTCTGCCTTGTCTTTAACATCCTCTCTTTTCAAAGCTGTCATCATCTAGTGCTGCTCAACAGGTGGATTGTTTCTCGGTGGACTCTCCTGTTTGCTTTGGTTCTTTCATGCCTGCAATGGGCACACACTCCTTCCCACCATGCGCCTTCTGAACAACCCCAGGGAGCTGCCGGGCAAGCGTCTGCCGAGGGTGCACCCTCCTCCCCTCGCAGAACCACTCTTCGCAATACGGCTTCCGGTTCACTCTTAAATCTTTCCTTATTCCCAGTGGCTGCACCGAAAGCATTTAACAGCTTCCTAGGGCTCTTTTTGACGTAAACCAAGGACACCAGAGATCCACCAGGTACTTTTCACGGAATTCACGGATGCATTTCCCAATGAGCATTTTCCCCCTTAAAGTTAACTACATAATGGAAAAGTGACTCTGACAGACTTCCTTTCTCCAGACTGACTCTGAGGAGGCAGCTGCCTATTAAGAAAATTATTTTTTCTTTATCCTGGTTTGTTTGGCAATAATTGAAGGCTCTGAGAGGATGAAATGTGATTTTGAAAACTTACCTCTTCTCAGAAGACCTCATTTCATATTTACCAGACATTCTTTGGATATGCTCAGTCATATCATTTCAAATCCCAAGATGCAGTACAAATTGATTTACAGAAAAATATATCCTGTGGTTCTAAGTAGCAATTATTTTCTCCCATTTTCCTTTAGGAGTTGGATTTAGAGAATCCTTCTCAAAAAACAAAGGTGTGGTATACTTTAAGTCAAAAACTCCTCCCCCTGAGTTCAGATTACAACACATATTGGCACGTTTAAGAAAACTGTCCTCATCTGATCCCAACTCTAGTCCTCAAACTACTGCATAGTACACCTTGTCCAGTGAGGTCCAGACCACTTTCTTAAGACTCTGGACAAACAGTAAGCAAAGCACAGCCGGCCAGGGAATGGCTACTACTGCGTGTTCGCCACCAAGGACACACACTGGACTCCTGATCTGCTCAAGGTCATGTGGGCCACATACTGTGAAAGAGGAAAATAGCTTTGGACAGTCCCAGAGCTCTGACCTCTTCTGTGGGCCATCCATCTAGGAGCTCAGTCTCCTGACCTTAGGGACACCATTCATGCCTTCTCGTAGGGGTCTCATGATAAGCCAAAGGGATGTAGATCATGTCATGTAGCTTTACCCACAACCTTGTCTTACATGAAATAATGCATTTCTAGAGCCAGTAGTGGTGGGAGGCAAGAAAAGAAAGTTGAACTGTGTCCCACAGTAAGCCGACTGCAGGGCTGAAAACCCCGTTAACCTTGGGATGACTCTTCCTTAAGGCAACAGAAGAGTTTGCCTCAGCAGTGGGGAGACTGAACGCAGCACCGACCTCCTCAGGCAGCAGACACAGGACAGGAAGGCTGAGGGCTCTTTCTGGTACTCCTCCTTGCTGTTGCATTCCTTCAGGAATTCCTGCAGATCCGTCTCAGGAAAGCCATTCTGCTGGTATTTCTTTTAAAAAACCACACAATGCTGTCACTCTATGCAGCATGAAAAATTGCCCCTTTGCCAATACACCAAAATCGCCTTTGCTAAAACAAAACTCTCCCACAGGGCTAGCTCGGAGCCAAGAAGTGCTATTAAAACAATGATGAATCAATCTGTCAAGTCCCAGAACAGCCAAGCCAGGGCCACCATGGGAACAGAGAACAATCCAAAGGAAAACTCCAGAAAGTCTTGGAAGGGTGTGTCTAACAGAGGATAAAGGAAGTAGGCCAAAGTCTAAGGCTAGGGTGATAGTACCGAGACCAGACAAGACTTCCAACCCGCATACTGCCAAGTAGATGACTCTGCTTCCTCTACTTTCTAGGGAGGACGGCTGCTGAGTGAGACAGAAGGTGGCTGCTGAGTGAAGGCAGATTTTTCCAAGCAGACACAAAGACCTTAGGGCCCTCTGCCCTCATGCTTAGTGAGGTCAAGTTTTCTCTTTTCTGCCAGGCCCTGCAGTCTCATCTCCCCACTACGCCAGTGGCCCGGCTTTCTTCTTCATTAGTCTGGGGAAGGTTAAGCAGACAACAGCACCCAAGGGCATCAACTCAGCCCTCCACGGTGCTCAGGCTCTGGATGCAAAGTAGCGTTCTCCAAGCTCAACCGCCTGCTGTGAAGACACCAGCCCCTGAGGAAGCAGGCCTCCTTAAAGCTGCAAATTGGTTAAATGGGTCCAGTCCAGAAGGGCAGAGCACATCAAGTGGCTTAGGAAAGTAAGAAGTTAAACAGCCCCAAAGCCTTCGCTTTCATTATTTAAAGGAAAGCTGCACCATACCAGCAGCCACACCATCCGGTGTGAGGAATGCCAACACCTGAGCGTGTACCACCTCAATCCTCAGTTCCAGGTGACCACACTCACAGACGCATTGGTCAGTGCCACAAGCAGCAGCCTAGTAGTGGACTCAGCCAAGCTTTCTCTCTTCTGGTGTCTTTCTCACAGCACCTCTAAACCCACCCACTCCAATCTGGGCAACAGGGACAAGGTCCTAAATCTGCATTTAAAATTAGCCTCTAGCTCGAAAAAGTTTTACTGTCTACAAAACCCTCAAAATCTAAATACAGTGATAATACCCTATGTGAATATTATGCTAAGTTCCAGACCATACAGCATTTGCAATGGTTTTTGGCAGTAAATATCACTACTCACCTTAATAGTGTCATAAGAATCTGTAATAAGTGCAATAAAAAGGCTGAGAATCATATATATGAAAAGGCTAATGAAGGAATATAGGTAGAGACGGCTGAACAGCCACACCAAGGTGCTCTTCTGCTGGATTTGAGCAAAGGTCGCAAACATGTCATCACCATTGACCAGAGAAAACAGGCACTCGGCCACTATGTTCAGATTTTCAAACTGTAGGGGAGAAAGGGAGATTAGCTTCTGAGATAAAGTATCCCACACAGCAGAGCCATGTTGTTAGCTTGTTAGCATAGAGTTGTTTCTCTCTTAGCAGTCATTCATTCATTTTTAAGACAGAACATGAAAATAGGAAAGCATTCAAAATCACACTCTTAAAGATGGCACCTTGGCATTTCCCTGGGCTTCTTCCTCAGCACTTTTTATATGTTCCTGGTCATGTCATCTAACACATTTGGATCCTGATTTTTTTTTCCTACTTGACATAAACACCTTCTTATGTTATTCACACATTGAGAGCATTTATCTAACAGGCTATTCCTTGAGAATCCTAAATTAATTATTGCCCTGACACTGGAATGCTACATTTGCTATTGTAAACAACAATGGAATGAACATTTCTATGCCTGATTTTTTTTTCCTGTTGTTGGATAAAAGCTGTTAACTTCCCCGCTTCCTCCACCAGTAGTGAGGAATGAGCCCAGGGCCTTCACACTGACCTATATACCTCCAGCCCCTTTAAAAAGTGCTTCTTTTCATTTTGAGACAACATTGTCCAGGCAGTCTAAATCACTAACTTGCCTAGACTAAGTTTGAATCTGTGATCCATCTGCCACAGCCTCCCTCAATGCTGGGATTACACACATGTACCACCATGCCAAGCTAAGCTGTCACCATGTTTAAGGCTGCAATCTGCCAAACTACTCTCTGAAAGAACTGCAACCAACCACATATGGAAGCAAGTGGGATGTAACAAAGGATCAGGAAGTTTGGTTAAATGAATGGCTTCCCTTAGCCTTTCCAACCATGGGTCCAGGTAATGTCAGCACATTAAAAATTAAAAGCTGCCAGAGGCAGGAGATGTTGACAGTGGAATAATATGGCTGATGCCTCCCATCCTACCAAGCAGATAAGCCATGAGGCCCTGCAGTAGAGCCGTGGTAGGCGGAACAAGATGAGTGGCCCAGGGGAGGATGTGCTCAGTGGCTATGGGGAAGTAGGTGCTGAGCCTGGTAGCAGAGAGGACATCTGTGCCACAATGCCTCGGGCCCACTGGGCCTTCTGCTTGAGGCTTCATTCAGCCCATGAAAGAAATTCCAGCTACAAGAGTGACGGGATCTGATCTGTGTTTCTCAAAGCAACCAAAGGCATGCAGGAGAATGGGAAAAGCCCAGCCAGAGGCAACTGCAGGATCCATGTGAGGCAGAGCAGCCCTGGCCAGAAAAGGAAAAGGGCAGGGAGAATATACATCCGGGTAGGGCTAAGACAAGGAAGTGTTCACGGCCTCTGTCGAGGCAAGGTGAGTTTGAGATGTCAGGCAGAAACGCTGGTGTGAGGTGGTCTGGTGGAAGGTGTCCATCTGGAGCTCTCATGGACACCACTGGGATCCCTGCTTTGAGGGGCTCACAAGCTACTGCAGTACTCCCACTAAACACAATGAATAGGTGCTCAATAAACATGATTCTGGGGCCAGTGGGTTAAACATTAGCTGGGTATAAAAAATTTCCAAAGAGCCTTAAGGACCTAATTGGCAAAAGACAATATTGTCTCCAGGGGCATAGAAGAAATGAGTTACTGTACTGTTTTGAACCCAGTTCTGCCCTTATGGATCGGGGCCCGCATGTCCATGAAGTCAGTGTGGCTTTGGGGATATTCAAGTCCTCAACGAGTGTCCGAGGCATCTTCACCTGGGAGTTGTGCTGCTGCTTCACATGCAATCAAAAAAGCCTCCCACCACCCTAAACAGCAAACAGGCCTCCCTTCCACCTTTCTCTGTCTTTCATGGATTCCAGTCTCCTACCAAAGAAATGTTTGCTTCAAAATAAATAAAATACTTATTTGCTAACCTTCCCCTCCCCTCAGTCTCCTAAGGTTTTTCTGTTCCTATGAGATCTTTTTCTGATCCATCCTTTCTATTCCACTCTGCTGTCAACACTCATAACTAGATTATTACAGAAACCTCCAAGGACGTCTACAACCTCTTCAACCTCCAGTCCAAGCTGCAGCGAAATGCAGACTTCATAGAAGATGAACTGAGGGTCACTTCTCTTCTTAAGATTATACAGTGTCCAGACATGAAGGAAAACTTCAAACCAAGAAGGGTGAGCAAGCTCTTCAGCCTGTGGCTTCAAGAGTCCTCCTTGTCGATATTAACATCCTGTGCTTGTCGCCTTCGCATCGCCTGGCCATTCCTATGTCTTTTCCTCCTGGGATTTATTTCCCTCATCTCCTATATTCTTCTTCCTCTGTTGTGTCCAATCAAGTCAACATTCAAGGGCAAATTCAACGTCTCTTACAGGACAGACTGCTCTGGGCGCTCCAGCACCTTCTCTGATCTCTGTATCAGCCAGAGTTCCAGAGTAAACCTGGGGATGCTCTTCTAATTGCTTCTGCGTACACTTCTCTGAACCCTAGTTGGACAGCAAGCACCACATCTTACACTTCTTATTCTGTGCCTAGACCAGACAGGGTGCAGTTTGGGAGTGTTCATGCCCATGCCTTTGCCAAATCAACAACTCTGGTGAGCTGGGCTAAAGTCACGCTCTCTAGAGACCTAGAGGGACGATCCAGTTGAACAAATCATTTAACACACAGATTATTTAACAGCAAGGCAGGAAGTTCCCCATATAAATATTTTCCATTTTCTCTACTAGCCTTGAGTCTGAAGTTAAAGCTGGATTCTATAGATGTCAGTTATAACCTTGGCAACAGCGTCTCTCTCATAGTTTCTTTTGCAATCTGTCAATTCTATTTAGTTTCAATAACCTTAAGAGTCTGTACTTCACGTTTCAGAACTGCAAATAGCTAGGTGGTCAATACCTATCCACTTCACTTCTTAGTTTCCTATACAGTTACTCGTTAGCAGTATAGACACAGTATCTACCCCATCATAATGCTATTCATAGCCACATATAAGAAACTGGGACATCACAAAGGATCAGAAAGTTTGGCTAAATGAATGGCTTCCCATAGCCTTTCCAACCATGGGTCCAGGTCATGTTAGCACATTAAAAATAAAAGCTGCCAGAGGTAGGAAGCGTTGATGGAGGAATAATCTTGGCTGATGCCTCCTATTCTCTTTCCCATGTGCACAGAAGAATTATTTTACTCTAGCAAAATGTTAGAGCAGAGACACAATAAATTAAGTGATGGATGCATAAACCCGTCATTTTAGTATGACAAAAATCGGCTCTGAACCAGTCAGTTTCAGTGGCCAAATCCCATAGAAATGAAGTTCAAATATTCCCCAGAGAAAGTCCTAATGTGTTTCCAAGTAGAAGGACCACATATAGGCTTCAGTTCTTGAAAGACTGTAAGCCCTAGAAAGCAGATACCAAAAATAAATACGTAAATATATACATACATACATAAATATTATATGGGTCTTTCCATTAAAATCCCCACAGATTTTATGGAACCACAATGAGAAACCAAACATTCATTTCACAAATGATAATTTTGTGGTTGAGCTGTAAAGAACGTTCATTTGAATGTAAACATAACCTGCAATAAGCTCATATCAGAGAATGATATAAAAGTTTACTTCAAGAGCTGGTGGCAAGAATCTCATGCAACATTTAGGTAAAAATTTTAACTGGATTGCAATTCTTTTTTTTTTTTTTTTTTTTTGGTCTTTTTGAGACAGGGTCTCACTATGCAGTTCAGGCTGGCCTAGAGGTCACTTTGCAGCCCGGCTGGCCTCAAACTCGCAACAATCCTCCTGTCTCAGCCTCCCAAGTGCTGGGATTACAGGTGTGCGCCATCATGCCCAGCTGATTGGCTTGAGTGAGAGAGACACTTGGGTAAAACCAGCAGCCTGGAATCACAAAGGTGTCAGGCAGGGGCTGCAGGTTTTTACCCATAGCAACAAAAAAGTCCAACAATTTTTCAATGCCTTGGTCTTCTAATTTGTAAAATGGGAATTGTGCGAGATTATTATTCATCCCTCACAGAAAGCAAACTCCTCTGAAATGTAAAATCCACATTAAAGTAATGTTGAATAATTCAAGATGAGGTTTGGAACATCAGCATCCTCCATCCCTTTGTGCCCAGACATCTTGAAAAGGCACAGTGCCAAGTCCATTAGCGCTGGAAACGAACACCAGCAGGACACTTTTCATACCTTTGCTCCCTTTAGCTGAATCAGTGAAATCAGATGCTGAACAGGAAGATAGGAAGCTAAAATGTTGAGACTTTGGCTACCAATCAATCAGGAGTACCAATTATAACTTTCCTGGTACCTCCTTGTTAGAGTTTTTTTGTTTTTTTTTTTTTTTTTGGTTTATTTTAATGAAAGAATTAACTTTCACATTCAGTGTTGCTGTGATTTTAAGAACACTGGAAAATGCTTGTGAAAATTCTCAGCTTTTGATGGCTTTGGGTGACACTGAAGTCCCTCTCGTTCAGCAGATACTGGCAGAATCTAAAAACGTGGACATTTTGGATTAATTTGGGGAGAGGAGGTACAGAGGGCAGTAACATTTCCTAAATTTAGAAATTTTCTAATTTCAGATTCAAAGGAGCAGCAATATGAATGGGAAAAAGGACAAAATTCTAAAACCAGACAAAATTTTTCACTGCACTGACTTGCGCATTCATTGAATTAACTCAACTGTGCATTTCCCCAATCAGCCTGGCTACAAATGGGAGGGAGGGAAGGAGGGAGAGACAGAACAGGGGGGAGAGGGAGGAGAGGGGGAGGGGAACAAGAGGGAGAGGGGGAGGGAGGGAGGGAGATCATAAATGGACCTGCTGGGCAATGCTAGAGACATCCCTCCTCCATCCACTCCCCCAGAGGGATAAAGGGAAGCACCCATTATGTTGGAGACACATCTAGAGGTGCAATATTCTAAATGCTAACCACCCACCACGTAAGAGTCCTAAGCATCTGCCATGTAGCTATTGTCTTAGTCATTTTTTTGTTACAGACAAAATCCCCAACACCCACAACACAAAGGAGGTGCTGGTTCACAGTTTTAGGTTTTAGAGGTTTTAGTTTATAGTCAGATGGAGCCAAAGCAGAAAGGGAAAGGTGCAAGGGCCTAGGTGAAAGAGAGGCTCGGCTCATGGCGGCCAGGAAGCACATAGCAAAGGGAGGAGCCAGGGAGGGAGACGGGTGCTCCAGGTCACACCTGCTGGGACCTGCCTCTTTTGACCAGATCCCTGCTCTTAACTGCTCATTCACCTCTGATGAATATAGTGCCAGCACAATCTAATTTCCTTACAAAAGCCCAGGCTCTCAGCACAAGAGCCTCTTTGGGGACACTCTAGATCTAAAGCATAACACTCGTCTAACTTGAGATGTGCTGTGAAGATAAAATAAGTCACCAGATTTCAAAGACTTAGTACCATCCCCCCAAGAATGTAAAAAATCTTAATATTTTACACTGCTTACATGCTGAGGTAGTATTTTGGCTATACTAGGCTTAATAAAATACATAATTAAAATCAATTTCATCTGTTTCTTCATTATTTTTTAATGTGGCTCCTCGAATACTTTAAAGTATGCACAAACCTCCCATTTGTAGCTCACATTATACTTTTATTGGACAGTGCTTGCCCAGAGGAACCTCGTTCACCTAGACCATTTGAAAGTACAAAACTGAACATATGGAAATGCAACCAGGCTCCCGGAGCAAATAACCTCATTTTGCACTAGGTGATCTTGATACATGCCCCCAAAAAAGTAAGACTCATTAGGTGAGTTGCCTCTCACAGTTGATCTGGAAATACCGTCCTGTTTCTTGGGTCAAACTAAATGTTCTTTTGCAATTATGTGCTTTAGAGAATTCCAAGAAAAACTTTAGTGGTTATCGGTCAAAGCATGCACACTGAGGTGAGGCAGACTGCAATTTGAATACCATTTTTGCCATTTGCCATTTACCATCTAGGTAATCTCAAAAAATCATTCAATATTAAAGTTCTTATTTTCTGTAAAAGGATAATGATATTTTCCCAGAGGAAAGTGGAGGAAAGGTTTAGTAGTTTGAATCTCAAAGTCCTCCAAAGTCCCATACACTTTAGTCTCCTGCTTGTGGCATTAGTGGAGAGTGATGGGATCTTCAGGAAGTGACATCTTGGTAGGAGGAAGTCAGGTCATCACAGATGTCCTTGGAGGGGTAGTTGGAACCCCATCCTCTTCCTATTCTCCTCTTTCCTTCTCAGTTGCCAGGAGGTGAACAGATCTCCCTCCATGATACACTTGACACAGGCCCAAAGATAGTGAAGCCAAGTGACCATGGACCAAAACCTCTGAAACCGTAAGCTTAAATACACTTTCCTGCTTCAAAGTTGATTCAGATACGTATTTTGACACAGTGATGGAAAGCTGACTGATGAGAGTTAACACAACAAGGGAGATAAAGAATTTGAACACCATACCTAACAAATAGCACTTTCAAAATGGCAGCCATTTAGTAAAATTCAAGCAAAGGTAACTGAGAACCTTTCAGAATAATGATGCGCTGAGAGAGACAGGAAGGAGGTGTCCAGGATACAGGACAACTTGTCCTGAAGTCTTTCAGACAATTAACCTAAAGCAAGATCCTTGGATTCCTACTTACACCACATGGTGCAACACTGCCCTCTAGTGACAAAGAAGCAGAGAAGCTTTTAAAGTAGGAGGAAAGAAGGAAGAAAAATGGTACATTTTCCTCAGTGTTAAGACAGCAAGTTCTCCAGCTCAGAAATATCTTATCAAGGAACAATTCTTACTAGAGTCACCTTCAAAGCAGTGACATGGATTTGAAAAGCAATAAATTTACTAAGATTTACTATTAACCCGGGGTCCATCACTGTTAATTATATGGCGTTTCGAACCATAATTCTCTGTGGCCGTTTTAAACGTGACAGAAAGAGAAAAAAGCTAGGGCCTGCTGGGTCACTGGGGTTTCTTTTACTGGGGCCAGAGGAAGGTTTGGGGCACATGGGTAGCACCCTTCACGAACAGTTTGCAAATCAGATTTGATCATATATTTTGGATAACGCCGCTATCAAGGTCAAAACAGTTCAATTTAGGGTTGAAGTGTTACACAAATTTGAAGGCGATCTTCTGCATTTTTCACCTCTTCTCTCCTTGCAGAGCACCCAAAGACTCTCTGGGGAGTTGCGGGGAAGAAATGAGAGCGAATGCAGAAATGTTCAGCGTAATGTTTAACAGGGAAGCTGTAAGCGTTAGCTGCTGTTATTTTTGTTTGTTTGTTTCTTTTGTTCCAATGGCCACAGGTCCATGGGTGAAAAACAATGTGGTAAAATAAGTCCTTTTACTTTTGTTGGCTGAGAACGAGACCTACGTAGGTCATTTCATTTCCTGAATTACCCAGCGAGCAAATTTATTATATTTATTATATCTAAGCTCATTCTGACCTTTAATAAGGAACAATGATGATAACATTATTGAAACCCCCTATGACAAGATATGCTTTCATTACAACCAGCAATGAAACGGTCATCTCAGGAAGTCTTCACCCACCTTCAGTCTCTTTAACTAGCTTGGCTGAAAACCTTTACACTTTAAACTAGAGAGACTTTTTGTAATAATTTCCCTCAATTAATTTTTACTTTTTACTATAGTGATCTTCTGCCCAAATATTTCTCATCTGATGATCAGCTGGGTGCATGTGTGACCCCTAAGTCAGGCCCAGACAACTCTGACATGCGCTTTCCAATTGCCTGCCATTGTTTCAGTATCTTAAAATCACTTTAATATCCCGAAGAGGAAAAGAAAAACACCGAGATAAAGATATTTGCTTCCTTAGATTAAGTGCAAAGAAGGTAGCGCTAGAAACCCACTAAAAGGGTCCCAGTGCCCGCTGTACAGAAAGGAAAATCAGTGCTACGCACCTTGTCATGGTATGGTCCCAAAACAATCCAGCCACAGAACGTGTAGCCCAGATAAATCATGCCAGCACAGGCACAGAACCGGAGAACTTTTGGCAGAGAAGCTCGCATTGTTAATATGAGCACCTGAAAGAAATAAGAATTTCTTATTTCTTATTTCTTGAATGGGGGAATGAAATGTAGCTTTGAGAACCTGAGGAAGAAATGGGTCTCCATCATGACGTGCTTCCCAGTGGCAAGTGCTTACGTTATATGCTTGGAAATAACCCAGGTATCTGATGACTCCAACCCAAACAAAGAGTGTAGACGTCCCAAGCAAAATGCTGCAGAGATCATAATTTGTGAGATTCTAAGGAAGGAAGAAGAAAAAGATGGATGAGTAACATATTCTACTCCACTCACCTTATTTACCTCACTTTATGGTTTAGAAAGTGATTTAGAAACCACATTATGGTTTAGAAAGAATGGGTACGAAGGGGTTTTGTTTTGTTGTTGTTTGCTAACTTGTTTTACAGTAGTGGGGATTAAAACCAGGGCTTTTGCACCAAGCTACATTCCCAGCCATTTTTATATTGTATTTTGAGACAGGGTCCTGCAAAATTGCTAAGTTGTCCAGGCTGGGTTTGCCCTCCTCCTGACTCAGCCTCCCAGAGTGCTGGGACTCCATCAGATGGCCACCAAGTCTAGCAGTTGCTAAGAATTATTTTTTTAAGACAAAGAAGAAGATAGAGAACACAGTTCCAAATGTGTGCATCTTATTTCCTTTTACTATTTTAATTTGTTGAACTGATTTTTTTTTTCCAGATGATATCCTGTAATTGAAATTGCATTTACCACTGACATTAAAAAAAAAAAAAAAAGCTCATCCTGTTCGTTAAAGACCAAGCAGCACTATTCAGCTGCTTCTGAAGGCAAGCTCCAACATGACTTCCTAACACAGCACCTGCTCACAAGGAATGCTAGGTCAGGAGGAGAAGACAAGCACACAGACAGGAGGCTAACACAATACATGGGGAGCAATGACAGATGCATGCCCGCTTCCCACGGTTGAGGCACTTGCAGAGCCTTGCCTACATGACAGGCAGGAGGAAGCTGCAGGGGAAGCAGACAAAAGCTGAAGAGGGGCACAAGGCTGAGAACTTCAAGTTGTCCTGGAAGGACAGTGGCTGTCAGACCCGGGGGAGGAGTAGGAGGAAGAGCCTGAGACGGAGCAGTTGAGGAGGACCCCGGCGCCATGCTGAAGGGAGGCCGCTTCCCCCACAGTAGGTCGCAGAGGTAGAAAGGGGGCTGACAGTAGAAAAATCACTAAGGCAGCTGAGTGCACGGATCTGGAGGACAGAGCTAAAGATGGGAACCCACGGGAGGCTGCAGCGGCAGTGCAGGCAGGACAGGCAGCATCATGACACAGCCAGAGGCAGCCAGAAGGAGAAGGAGGTGCTTCGGCATCGGGGAGGTCCACTTGCTGAGACTGACAGCAGCACAGAGCCCAGGGGAGAACAAGTAAGTGCTAGAGGAGCAGTGGCCTAGTGAGGATAAAGTCAACACATCCATGCAACACGCCAGGCACTCAAGCGTTCCTGACCTCCGCATATCCACCAGGGGACCCAAGGGGCACGACTGAGTCCTGATGCACGCTCAGGAGAAGCGATGGATTTCCGGGTCAGTTGCTCCTTTTTGCAATTTAAGAAGCCCAGCAACAATTTTGTCAAACTGCAGTTACCGTTCTGAAGATGCTGCCAAATTTCCCGGAGGGTAGTGATGGGGACAGCACCTTCCCCAACACACCCACTTCCTTCCCCGCTTCTCAAGGAAGCACATCCACTCATGCGCATGGGTGTGAGAAGAGACAACAGAGAACCAACCTAGTCTTCCTCAGGATTTTACATCTTAAGGTGCCAGAGCTCATCTGGCTGAATTGAAACACAAAAGGCTGTAAGCGGGCGGCCCTCACCTTTGCTTTGATTTCCATTTTTAAGATGGATCCGACTATGGTCATCAGGTCGCTGATGATCACCAGGACATACCATCCATTGACGAACTCCCATTGGTCAGCATCACACACGTGTCTCCTGTACTTCTCCAGGAAGAAATCTAGAAATCTCTACAGCAAACATGGAACAAAGTATTTCTTACTAACCTCTTCTCCTCCTCCTGGCAGGAGAAGACTGGTGCAACACGGTGCTTCAGCCCATGAAATGACGTGGCATTGCCTTTTCCAACTGGTAAGTCTATTCGCAGGGGGGCAATAAGCAATACACTTTTCCCTGTCTGTCATCTAGCCCAGCAGGAGGCGAGTATGTGAGTGCCTACATTAACCCAAACATTAAATGCATATAGCTGCCCCCTCCAGAGTCTTGTCAGAATACTAATACAGTGTGTTCCAAATACTTGGCATAGGACCAGCTTACTCAAGCTGGTGACCACCCCCTGACCTAGGTACTGTTCACTCTGTCTTCAAGACGAGGGAACTGAGACACAGAGAGGCTAAGCCTGGAAGGACCTGAGCCTCAGCAGCCTGGCTCCAGAGTCTGTGCTCCCATTGTTGTCCCCCCCAATTTGACAGTCATGCGACCCTAACCTTGGATGCAGAGTATCAAGAGGATTGGAGGGCAGGGAAGAGAGGTGGGTATTTACAACGTGAGGTGGCAGAAATCAAGATAAAAAATAACAGAGCACAAGCTATTTCCTCAGTTCACTTTTTTTTTTTTTTTTTTTTTTTTTGGTACCAGGAATTGAACTCAGGACCCTGCACTTGCCAGGCAGAGGCTTGAGCCACTGAGCTATATCCCCGGCCCTATTTCCTCAGTTCACGAATGGGACCACAAGGACTTCTTCGCTCCCTTGACCCCAGTGGACATTTACACACATGTCACAAGCCAGAATGAGATGCATGAGCAGCTAGAATATATATTCATAAGAACCCTGAGGGCAAAAAGGTAACCTGAAACTCAGCGGAGAATTTTTTAGCTATTTAAAAAGTAGAATAAAGTAGTTTATGCTTCATTATAACTCAATTACCATGCTTCCTTGTCAAAAGGAGCTCTAACTTGAAGATGAATTTTAAAATGCATACATGGCATTACTCTATTTGTAAGAATGCTCCTGAATTTGACAGGGTTTCATTTATTCCGGAAACATCCAAAAGCTTGAGAATTCACCACTGTGCCGTCCATGTTTGCTAGCTCCGTTGTAAGCAGGGTAGTTATCTTGTTCCACCTGACTAGCCAGAGCCTGGACTGATGTACTAAACCTCATAGGGTCCATCACTCAAATGAATCTGATTGAGTCAGGAGGTCAGGGAGGCCCAACACCAGCAGTCCACTCTTTGGTCAAACTACAGGTCCAGGCCCAAAGGGGAGGGAAAAATGAAACACAGTTACCTTCCGTAACCTTAGAGCAAGGACAATGGATCTCGTGCACAGAACCAGAGATGCCAAGCAAACCAAGATGACGAATGCGTCGAACACCAGGACATACTGAGTGTTTTTCTGAGCTGAAGAACAAAAGAGTGAAAATGGTAAGCACAAGGATAATTTCCATGAGAAATGTTATTTGAGAATAATTTCCAAGCTAAACTGGCTAACTAAAAGGAAGTTCAAATGAAAAAAAAATGTTTTGTCTCTTGTCAAAATACAACAGCCAGTATCAGAAAGGAATCATACTGCATTCATTTAGAAGTCTATAAATAAGGGAAAACATCCCCTGATGTGAAGAGTCACGCATTTAAAAACTATTAGTAAAAGCACCAGTGAGTGTGTATAAACATGTGGTGTACAATTCAACAGAAGATGCTCGGTCTGCACTTCATTCCAAATGGACGAAAGGAGCAACTCACTAAGCCGCCCACAGCAAAGCGCAGGAATCCGTTTGCCATTCCTAAGAGGGCGGATCAGACGCCACTGTCTTCTGTGGCCTCACTTCTGCTTCTCGCCAGCATGTTCCCAGCAGAAAGTGACAATTTATAAGAGAAACAGTCTTGCAAGGGAAAGAGAGCTGTTATGAGCTGGTTCTTTTGGAACTCACAGCAGCACAGAAACCAAGGGAGATGTAGCTGGTCCAGAGCTGCTCCGGACCCCCTGGGAGCACCTGTCCGCCCCGAGGTGCAGCCTCCGCTCTCCTGCCCCGCTCCCACCTGCTCCACGCTGCGGCCACACTGGTCTTGCTCCCTCCCTCCCTGTCCTCGCTGCAGAGGCTGTGCCCAGGCTGGTCCCTCTGCCCGCACTGCACCTCTCCTCCATACATATATGCTGAGATTATTTGTTTTCAACCTCAAGTTTCAGACTGAAAATTCCTCATCTCAGCAAAACGTTCCCCGACTGCCACCTCCTGTAAGCCCCTCCCATCTTGCTCCTAGCTGCACAACCACTTCCCTGTCACTGCATGCGGCCACTGCCCTCACGAGGATGCCGCCCAGATGGCCCTGCCGGAGAATAGACACAGACACGGTACGCATCGGGAGGGGACGTGGCCCCCGGAGCTGGAGTGTGGAGAAGCTGCGTGAGCTCTGAGTCTCAGCTTGCTCCTCTGAAAGGGGGAGAATAACAGTCATGAAGCGTGTGTCACAGGGCTGGTGTGAGGGTTTCTCAAGCTCACCCGTGCAAAGCACTGGAAACAGCCGCAGGAAAGCAGCAGCAAACATTCAGTGGTTCTCCAGTTGAGTTTCCATGTCCACCTCCCCGCAGGGCCCTGAGCAGTGTTAACGCACAGCACCTGCATTCTGCAAACCATGTAGTGTGCTCACAGTAGGAGAAGGGCTTCAGTAGAACCCAGGGGGACCACCGAGTGGTCTACTGAGCCCATCCGGAGGGCTGAGCCACACTAGAGGCAGAGCAGGAGGCGGCGCGGGGTTTGGAGAGGTGAAAGTATGGGTCCAAGCCTGCTTGCCAAGGGACCTGGGGGTAGAAACACCCAAGAACGACTCCTAGGGTTCTGTCTGGGTAAAATGAGTTCAGTCTGGACAATCTAGACAGGAGAAGATGACCTGGTTGTAGCTGAAGCCATAGGTGTGGACAACCACTTAGAACCAGCGGGCTTGGAAGCAGCTATGTTTGAGAATTCAAAGAGATGAGCTCAGGAACCAGGTGGAGAAGTGTTATGGTTTGTGTCTGGATGTCCCCCAAAGCCTCATGCAGTCATGGGGCGGGCTTCTGGATTTATGATTGATCCACAGTCCAGTGCTGGGACTACGGGTGTGAGCGCTACACCCGCCCTGGGATGGGTAGTTTGCATACAATATAAGGAAGGGAAAGAGGCTGCTCACCCCGATGCCGCTCCTCCCTTTTTGCATTTGCTGCTTTTGCTGTCTTTTGCCTCCATGAGCTGTAGCCCTCTGCCATGTGCCACTCTGCCTTGGAGCCAGCCAAGTATGGACTGAAACCTCCACAAACTGTAAGCTAAATAAACCTTTCCTTCCTTAATTTTGGGCATTGGGTATTTTTTCTCAGCAATCAAGGAGAGAAGAGTAACCTTGACAAGAAGAAAAGCCGGAGAAGCGGAAGCTGGACTGGGGAGAGGTGACCATCAGAGAGGAGTCAAGGTGGGAGGGTGCCACAGGGCTACCTCGGCAGGGAAGGCATGCAAGAGAAGGAGCAGAGTGTCTTTGGGGGGAATAATGCCAAGGTGCGGGAACACTGACTGAGTGACTGACAGCAGACAATACTCACGGTCAGGTGGCTTAGCTGCTAGTAGTGTAACCCACAGCGCTGCCACAGAACTGGGAAGGCCAGGGCCTGCATTACCCTGCTATTTTATATTCAAGAAATTTATTGTGAAATACCACCCAATTGTAAGTAGCATAGGGATTTAGCTCTCCCAAAATACAAGAGCCCCTCCACATAGGCCTGTGGACTGGAGCAGAGGAAAGAGAGGCCATTCTTGGAAAGATGGGATTGACAATCGTAGGAAATGCAAAGACAGCATCTGGTACCTTCCTTCCTGGCCTGTAGGACAAAAACCTCTACCTTTGTTTGTATTGGGCCTTATTTACAGAGAGGAAACCAACGAACCTAGAAATGAACTAGCCCTGCTAAACATAGAAATAGTTTTTTCACTCTGTTGACATTATATTACCCTACAAGAACATCTCCCCAACCCGGCCTTGGAAAATACTAGCCCAGAAAGTTGCCCCACCAACCTGGCTAGGAAAGTCCCACCCTCCACCTATCTCTTCTGTAGGCCTGAGAAGCCGCACACACCCCGCCACAGAACTCAGACCCAGGGCCGTGTAAACTTGCTGCCCACTCGTCCGGACACCAATTACATCCCCATCGAGGCGGCGTCCTGCCCACTCCCTCCTTCCCAGCCGCTCACCCTCCCATTACCATGTTTATGAAATCCCGTAGGTGACGATGAGTAGCGCACCTGGAGATCGGGACTCACACAGGCGGCGTGGGGTTTGTGTGTAGAAAGGAATATCCCCTGCACATTTCGCTTTAAGATACAGGGGTAATGACAAAAGGCAGAGGGAAGCCTTGAGCGCCAGGATGAGCAAGTGAAGGGATTGCAGAATATCGTGACAATAGCAGAAGGAGCCCACCAGGTGTCGCCCTGGCATCGGTTCTACTGCCCCCCAAATCCCGGGCAATCTGAATTCACCAGTTTTCAGCAACGAGGGGAAAAAATCCATTTCCTAAACTGGTTTCCCAATTTCAGCTTTTTTAAGTCTTTCACATCTCCTCATTTTATTTTAAATTCGTATCCTCCCAGTGATGGAGTCTGATTTCTTAGAACATCGCGCTAGGAGAGGCACACCTGAATTTTAGCGTTTTTACTGCCCGGTCTGTGAGGGCTGTATTTCTCCGTATTAGCCACTCGGGGGAGCCAGAGCTCCCTCGTCTGAACCCAAGCAAGGAAACCGCCGAAGTTCGAAAAAGGAACGGCGGCTTGTGCACGAATTTGACCGTGATTTTGTTCTTCATAATGACTACCCCAAATCTCGTTTTATATAAATGAGGGTTAGTGTATTTTAAAAATAAAACAGTTGCACCCTATAGATAGGGTGCTATGCGTCTGTTCTGTGCCAGTCTGTGACAGAACGTGCAGTTTGCCGGAGAGAAGTACCACTTTTAACAGAAACCAAAACTGCATTCTGATCCGAGGAACTACTGAAACCGAAATTTTAAAAAAATAAATTAAAAACCACTTCAAAAATCACTAGGTTGAATTACGCAACCGAAAAGCAGCAGGCCACAAATCAAACATAGCTTAAGACAGAGAAACCACAGATATTTTATATCTTATTTCATTCTGATAATCTGATCCAAAGTTTTGGGGTTTTCTGTTCGGTTGGGTTTTTGGGTTTTGGTTTTTGGTGGTACTAGGGATTGAATCCAGAGTTTTCATTTCACACTGAGCTACATCCCCTGCCCTTTTTCAATTTTATATTTTGAGGCAGGGTCTCACTAAGTCACGCAGGCTAGGTCTACCTACCTCGTTCTAAACCTGTGATTCAGGGGTACTTTTTTATTTTAAAGAGAATAATAAAAAAAGAATAATAGCAAAATACCAACAACATAGACAAAAATAAAACACAGCAAAAACAATAAAAATGATACAGGGTTTTAACACAAAATGATAGGAATTAACAGGGGTTGTTATATTACATATTGTTATCTTCAACGAAGTTGCTCAGATTAGCAGATGTAAGAACGCAAGAGTCATCAAACCATTAAAGAGGATAAAAAATAAAAACAAAAAAAATTAGAAATGATACAGAGTTTCACTAGACAAGATGGTAGGAATTCATCAATGGGTGTTATATTGCATATTGTTGTCTTCAAACTGGTTGTTCAAATTACCAGGTATAAGCATGCAAAATTGGTCAAAAAGAAAAAAATTAGGCATTAACTATTCCTTCCGATAAACCATTAGACATCAGCAGTACAGTCACCCCAGCTGTCCTTACAAAACAACTGGAGAAACGACCCAGTGTTGTTACAGGCTAAGATCCAGGCTCTGCAGCCTTGATCTTTCTCCACTGCCCAAGGCTTAGACCAAAACACACCCTTTCCAAGGATGATTTCTAGGTTGTATTTCCCCCTCCACCCCAGCGACATTTATCCCTTCCTTTCTTTCCATTCCCTAGTCCTACCCATATTTAGAAATTTTGTTAACACATCAGTCTCCATCACCGTGGCATTTATTATTCTTTCCCTCTTAGGTTGACTTTCTTCTTTCTTTCTTTTTTGGACTTTTTGTTTTGTTTTGTTTTGCTTGGTTTTTTTTT